CCTACTATTCTGAGCCATTCTTTGTTACAATCTCTCTTTCAGAAAGTGCCTGCCTGCTCCCTTCCATTGAGCGCGGGTGTGTTTGGGGGGGGGGGGGGGGGGGGAGTGATATTAGGCACAACTGTGCTCCATGAAAAAGGCAGTTGAATTCAGCTGATGTGCATTTGCTTTCTTTTTGTCCCAAGGCAGCTTTCAGTAAAATTCCTATTGGATTCATTCCTCTTGGAAAGACCAGCACTTTAAGTCATACGCTTTATCCTGAGAATGATAACCAAGTCCAGTAAGTTTGAATTCATGGTGAGACCATTTAAAGAATGATTTAAAATTAATGTACTTTTCAGAATTTAAAATATTGTGTTATATTTTTAATCTATTTGTATTCTGACCTTACTTTAAGAAGAGCTTTGCAGACAAGGACGATATTATTTTTCTAGCAATATTATGAAACCTATTGTTCTGAAAAAGTGCCTTCGGATCTCCCAGTATCTGTTCTTTAATGAAGATACGAAGCTGTATCCTACAGTTTAAAACCCATTATGAAGATCACACTAAGCCATAATGTGTTTTATTTGGTTTTGGCTTGGCTTGTTTTACAAACCCAATCCCCCTTTCCAGCCCTCTGATCTCAGCTTGGTAGCCAGGTAACCAGATTGGTGAAGCCCTTGGTCTCAAGGTGATGCTATTGAAGGCCACTTCTTTTTGTAATAAGACCAATGTCATTCATGACCTAATTAGGGATAAAGAGAGTATTACTGAAACCTAGGTGAGTAAAGATGGAGGGAGCTGGCTGAGAAAGATCCACCTGGTTTTCAGATATTGCATCAGCCTCAACTCCAAGGTGTCAGTGTACTTCTCTGTCTGGAGACTCTGATAGACACCTGGTCTGAGATGGTCTGGGGTGAGATTGGGGAGCCTCAGAACAAGCTGGGGATGCTTCTGTTATCTAGTCCTTTCAGCTGCACAGTGGCATCCCCGCCTAACTGTTCAATCTCACTTCTAGATTGGTGGCTGAGACACCTAGGCTGATAGTATTGGGTAATTTCAACCTGCTGTCCCTGGGGCTATTCTGAGAAGAGATTTCATGGCAGCCTCCATAGCAACAGTGGCTTTGTCCTAAATAATCACAGGCCCAATGTGTGTCAGGGGGAGGGCAACCATTAAGCCCAGCTTATATGTCAGAGCAGCTAAAATGAGATGTGGTCATGGTCCAGTGGTGAGAAAAAGAATTACAGATGACTTCTGAGTGACCATAGGGTTGACTGATGCCACAAACTTCCTCGGAGATATGTCAGCCTTGCAAGGTAGTCCAGACAAGAAGCACACCCAGAAGTACTAGCTCTACTTTATTGTAAGGTTACATTAACAGAATCTTGCAAATCTGAAAGTACATCTCTCCCCCCTCACCTTTACAGTCCAAGAAACTAGGGAGGATCCCTTCTGAGATGTTTGCCATGCCCCCATTCCTTCCGTGGATTCAGCCCTCATTTGTCTGGCTGTTGTCTAGTCTATGGCTCTCCCTCGTGTCTCTTAAGGTCATTCCCACATACCATTACAAGAAAAGAGCAATTAGATTGGTCCACCCCAGGCTTTTGGTTTTCAGATAGCTCTTGAGGGTTTTCCCAGCAATCTGGAGGGTGGTTCTGTCTGGGGCCTACTGACCTTTAGAATATGGGGGCAGCAACGTCTCTTAATAGGATTGTTCTTGAGTGGTCTCTCCCTGTGTGTTGATCCTGAGGTTGCTCTTGATTCTCTGAGGAGTTCCGGGAAATAAGATGCCAGAGGAGATGCCGAGGGAAACACTGGTGCAAGGTGAATTAAATCCAGTTAGACTCAGGAAGGAGGCAGTCCCAAGTTCCCAGTCCTTTCAGGCATTCCAGAATGATACTGGAGATGAAGGTATTCAGGGTCATCAAAATATCTTGCAAAACTAGTAAGGTTGCAGTCCCTACATATTAGTCCTTGGAATGATGGGAATTAAGTTCTAATACCATCTGTTATTTATTTGTTTGCTTGTTTGTTTGTTCAAATTTATTAGCAGACCATTCTAGAAGACACCAGGTTAGGAGATGCTACTTATATCAGGCTAGGCTGATACTCACTTGAGCCTGAGGCTATCAGCACTGATAAGTAGCAATATTTTAGAGCATAACTCTTCTGCTGTGCAAGATTTTTTTAACTGGAGATGGAATTTTCTGCAGTGGGTATACACTATTACTTGACTTGTATATGATTCTCTAATTTTTTTTTTAAGGTGTATCACTGATGCCACATTGTCCATATTGAGAGGAGAGACAGTTCAACTTGATGTATTACAGATCAAGGTAGCAACATTTCATTGTAAATGTTATATTTTGGAAACTTGTTATTATTTCTGCACCTGTAAATTTTTCTTGTTTTGGATCAAATGCCATTCTGATTACTTGTATTTTATAGAGCTGGCTTTTCAAAAATGGCTTTTGAAAGGTCTGCAAAAGGAATACAGGGCAGAAGAATTATTAAGGCACGCTTAAAATACCAGGTATTATAATGCAAATAATACTATATATATTAAATACAGTTGTATTCACATAGATAGCACGAGGTATTTGCTTAGTTATTTAGCTAGGCAAACCTGCTTTTAATTTTTTAGTTATTGTGCAGATAACTTTGCCCACTGCCAAAGCACATAGTTGATGATTTCACTGTGAAGTCATATCTGGCTATCTCAACCATTTTTGATTCACTTGCTTTCTACAGTAAAAATAGTAGTCTTGGGAGGAGGGGGAAGAGGAGGAGGAAGAAGAAGAGGAAGAAGATCTTTTCATTTCAGCAAGGCACATCAAGCAAAGTTGCCAAATAATCTTTTTTCTTTTTACTCACAAAATGAAATGGCACCTGGCTGAAAAGATAGAGCTAAACCCATTTTGCATTCATTTATTATAATTTATCATTCTTTTCTATTGGACTTGCCAAGCCAATATATAATGGTCAGTATTTTTGTTTGTATTTTTAGCCTATAGTTGAATATTTGTTCTGCTGATGCTGGTATCACTAGATTAATGTCATGTAAAGGTTTGGCTGCCTCTGTATAAAATGTGATTTCTGTTTTTGTGTTTTCCTTTATGGATAGGGGAACAAAGAGCAGCCAGTGTTTGCTGTAAATGGCTTACGGTGGGGGTCTTACAGAGATGCAGGAGCAAAAGTCAGCAAGTAAATAAATGTTTTGCCTCTAACATGTAATTGTGTCTATCTCCTTTTCTCCTGTGTATTACTTCCACTGAGACATTGTTCCAAATTTGTTGATACCAATCTATTCTAGCCCAGTTAGCCTGCAGATTTCTCTTCTCATTGGACTCCATAAATTTCAGGCTTCTTGGCCATACTTCTGCAGCTGTGCTGATTAATTCATTGTTCTCAAGGCACTGCTTTCCTCTCTCTTGAGAGAGGGCCTGTGTCATAGCATTTTACTAAGAGCCTGCCTAATTCATAGAAAGCTATTCTACGTGGACTACATAGAAGAGATTTGAAGTTTCTACATAGTGGCCCTCTACGTATCTGTTTTGTAATCACAGAACCATCTGGCATCCATTGATTAATCATGGGTCATGTGGAGAATATCTACTTTTGAACCAGGCAGGATTGATAATGATACAAAGTCATCCATGCAGTAGAGGAGTACTGTGTCATAAGTGAGATGCTATGGGTGTCACATGAAAACTCATATAGACTTCTACATGTATGAACTAGTCTCAAATGGTTATCTCTCTCTCAGGACTGAGATGCATAGTTCATTTTTTTTTCTTCCTCCTAAGTGCTCCTTTGAAGAAATAGGTACTGCCTTTCTGGTGAGCTATCTTCTGTTTAGCCTGTGTGATAACTACGGATTTGGGGTGGATGTGCACTGGGGTACAGTAGGGTGCTTTTAGAATTGATGTAAGGGCATTGTATATTTGTGGGTGTGCTGATTATGTGTATCTTCTGAGAGACAGATTCAAGCTATTCTGTTTTTCGTTTCTGTTTTCTTTTTAGAAGAAAAAAATCTTTTTCTAAACTTCTGCTAATGTTTAAACTTTACCAAAGCTCATTGAAGTTTTAAGATTCTAAAGTAACCACATTGGTATGAATGCATCTCATATGGAGGAATGCTGTGGCCTCTGCAGTAGCAAGTCATCAGCTCAGTAGTACACTTGCTTAGTAAGAAGTAAAAGCAGGATAGAAGACCTACTTCTGTACGAGTAGTATAGAAATAGCAAGCAGCAATTAAGTGGTTCAGTGGGACCAGGCTGGGTATGAGATGTTAGGCTGCTATATTCATTTGACCTCTAGACAAGCCAAATTTTACTAGGAGACATCTGCATTAGCATGAAGCCAGAACCAGTTACACTGCTTTTTATTGGGGTCTGGTGTCCAAGTATAAGACTGTAAGAAATGATTTTAATAGAAATTGTGTTAAAAATGCTAATTGCTTTCCTCAGATCCCAGTTTTACTTTTTTGTTTTGTTTTGTTATGTTCCAGATACTGGTATCTTGGACCTCTGAAAATCCAGGCAGCCCATTTTTTTAACACATTAAAGGTAAAGGAACTCCAGTATCAATCACCCAATGTTATTGCGTTATTGGAAACTTAAGAAGAGTAATCTTTGTGTGGACTACGTCATCTAGTCTTCTGTCACACAATGGTCAGCTAGATGATAACAACTATGGATAACAAGATGTTAGTTCTTTTCCATCGCCACTCCCCAGAAGCTGGTATTTAAGACAAACTTTGTGGTTCAGGAGACAGTTACAGGTATCAATACTAGTAGCCCTCAGTAGTCTGATGCTTCATCATTAAAAGTGATAGCCATCATCATGTCTGATGGTATCAGCTTCCATAGTGTAGTTATGTGTTGTATAAAGAAGTACTTCCTTGTCCTGAATTTTCTCACATGTAGATTCAATGGATGGCTTAAGTTCTAACATTGTATGTAGACTAATGGTATAGCATATCTTTACATGCATAAAGTTCCAGAATCAGTCTCAGCATCTCTCATGAGAAGGATCTTCTGCTTCTTTTATTTGTGCATGCCATATGATTTTATTTGGATTGTTTATAGGGCACAGTTTAAGGCAGTATAATTTTTAGGTACATTGAACATATCCAAAGCTGCTACTTGAGATGGAACTGATGTGAAGTCATTTGTTATTTTGCCAAGCAGGTGGTGACAGAAACAGAGACCTTTTATAAAACAAAATCATGGAATGCAGCTTAAAAACATTGCTGCACTAGCAGTAAAATAAGCAAAGAAAAATCAGCAAAGGGATGCTGTGATGCAGTGAGACCCATTAGAAGCTACTCTGCGGTCTTCCTCTAGCGCAGTCCTCTCTTGAGGCTTTTGTTATGCTAATGATTCACCCTGAGACTTATTCAGTTGATGTAAGTGGTGCCTATAAATAGCATCTACAGGACTGTTGATAATCTGCCTCTTGTAGTCAGCCAGTCACAAACTGAGCAGAAGGGTTAATTGCTGTAGCTTTAAAATTCTCAAATATTATAGGATTGTAATGTAAAGGAGATGCCTATTTTTCTGTTAATGCCCTTCTACTTATTCCTTAACAAATAATAAACATACCAATTTTTGAAATGCTGCAGCATGAGTGATATTTCAAAGACCTAATGGAGGTCATCCTTCCCCAGTTGGTACCCACTCCTTTCACTGCTCCTCCTCATCTTGGACAATTCCTGTAATTACTAGCCATTGTTTTGGCTTGGGATGGTGAACAGGGGGCAGAAGTTGGGGAAGGATTGGTTAGATTGTGATGGATTAGGATCAATATTTAACAGTTGGGGTGAAGACTGAGGTGGGTGGAGACAAAATGTCACATATAATTGTAGGACTGGAAGTTTCTATTTTGAATTTTTTAGGGGGGAAGTTTGTAAGCCTATTCTACAACTTAGAATACAGTAATTATGTATTTCCCATCTCAAAATAGCAGACTTGTTGATTTTTAATAATACTGCCACTGAAATTTAGCAGTGCTCCAAGGACCACAAAAGTTACATTCTATGACATGTATAGAGATATGTTACTCATTTCCATCCTATTCAGCAAGGGAAGTAGACAAAATATGGGCTGGACTATGCTACCCTTACCTGAATATAAAGCTAGGTGAACAGTCCTATGGGATGGCTTCATGTTAATCTGGAGGGTAGCATGCTTACCACAGGGCTCTGTTCTAGGCCCAGTGCTGTTAACATATTTATACTTTATTTGGATGAGGGATTAGAAAACATGATTATCAAATTTGTAGATGAGACAGAGTTGGGGGGGGTACTGATAGGGCAGTAGCAAGATTCATGAGAAACTTGACAAGCTGGACTATTGAGCAAGAACCAGCAAGGTGAATTTCAACAGGGTCAAATGCAACAGGGACAAATCCAAACTTACATCAAATACAAAAAAATAAAAGATATATACTGTATATAGAAGAGAGAAACCAATGTTCTCTATTCTTCTTTGGTCAGACTACCCATAAAATATTGCATCCAGTTCTGGGCATCTCATTTTAGAAAGGACATTGGACTGGAGCATGATAAGATGATAAGGGGCCTGGAAGGAAAAAAAAAATAAGAGGAAAGCTTAGAGGCATGTTTAGCCAGAGAAGAGAAGATTGCAGGGAAATGTGATAGCTATTTTCAAGTATCAGAAGGGCTGCAGGTAAAAGATGGGGCAGACTTGTTCAGAATTGTTCCAGAAGACAGGAGAAGAAACAGTGGGATTAAATTATGAGAAAGTAGGTGTCCATTGAACATCAGGAAAATATTGTAAATGGAAAGAGCTCTTCAACAATGAAACAGTGCTGGATTCTCCATCACTGGAGGTGTTTAAGGAGAGGCAGAATGGACCTCTGTTGGGGATGCTACAGAAGTGAATCCTTGTACTGGACAAGGAGTTGGATTAGATGATCTCTAAGGTACCTTTTGACGCTTACATTCTATGATTTTATGATCAGGATCCAGTATTAAAATTGGTGAAACCTTTAAATGCTTTCATTTATTGAAGCAGGAGAGTAAATTGCTGTTAAGTTTCTGCCTGCCGCTATGTCTTACTTAGAAATTCTAAGACGGAACATTGCTGCTTTAGGCCACGTATTTAGGCTCCGTGGTTTTATCAGTGCATGGTTGATTATTAATAGGTAGCCATATCCATAGTCCATTTTACTGCTTGAATTCCTATGTAACTTTTGCTGTTTCACATCCTGCTTTCTCTGGCAGGGGACCTGATGCTGTGTTTTCCTGTTTGTCCTTGTGAAACATGATAGTTCTTATGATTGACCTATGCATTCAGCAGGAAATGACCTGAATAATTCAGTTGCTACCTAATAGTTGCAACAAGCTGGCAAGAGCAGAAGCAGAAAATGTGATGCTTAATGCTTCCCTCCCAAGATCTCATTCCCTAAATCAGAATGGACAGCACCTACTGGAATAACTGAATGGGGAAAGTAGCCTTTTTCCTATCCATGCTTTCCTATCCTCCTGTCACCTCTTTGCACCTGTTTCATGGCCACCAGTTTTTTCAATCTGTTTCTGTGTTGGCGTGCTCATACATTTTCATACTCTGTTAATACTGATGCTTTTCTTTCTTTTTGCCAAACTCCAAGGAGTGGCCTCAGAAACATCTAGCCTCTCTTACTTACTTGGGCCCAATTCCAAGGCCTCCTGAGGAGCCAGAGCAGAAGACCTCTAGACCTCCTTTATACATTAGGCTTTACAAGAGGCTTGCATATTATTGGACACCCACTCCCAAAGGTAAGCAAATATGCACAAAGTGACAGAGGTTGAAATCTCTCAGTATGGACAGAACGAAGAAACCAAAAAGAAAAAAGAAAAAAGAGAGAGAGAGAAAGAAGTATTAATAAAATGGTGCCTTGTCTAAGGTTCTACTTAATTTTCTTTTCTCCCTTTGACCTCAGAAATCCCAAAGGAGGGGACTCCAGAGGTCTGGCATGAAATTGCGCTGTCTGCCGTTGAATTCTCTGTCACTACTCAGAACAGGCATCTTGACCTGAAAGTAAGAGAACAAAAGTTCAATCACCCTTAACAATGTTTCCCCAGTTTGACCATTAGGTGTAGACTCAGTTCTAAGAAAAATGGTAAATGACAGGTTAATTCTGTAAAATAAGAGAAATGATACAGGAATAGTTTAGTTTATTGATTGATTAGTCTTATAAACATATTTTAAAAAAACAAAGTAAAATACAAGGTCTATTGCCAAGACAAAATAGATAAAAGAAAATACAATAATAAAAATAAAATAATACAATAAAAAATATGAGAGATCATATAGGAGTGCTTTTGCATAGGTTATATCCCGTTTTTCTTACTGCAAAATTTGGAGTTGTCTTTATTTGAATGTTTAGAACAGAGTTTCATTACCTGGTCCAAAATCCTCCATCCCAAGAACCTTGATCCTAAGACTATTAATGAACTTCCTTGTTGTAACGTATCTAGGTTGCTAGGGTTCGCTTGAATTCAGTTGAGGTACTCTTATCTCCAGGAAAAACCTAGGTATTGAATGACATGAATATCACTGGAAGGATTATGAAAGAGAAGGTTTGATTAAAATGCAGTTCTTGGCAGAAAGAACATTCTGCAGAACAAATTCTCTTTTTGGAAATGCCCAGGGCTCTGTCGTCAGCAAGTAGTCAATGGCAAGTTGCAACCTCTAATCCATTTCTCAAGAGAAAATATAACAGCATGGGAGAGATCTGCCTGACCCCTCCATCTTGCAGAGGAGAGGGAGAAAACTCTTGACAGCTTACTTTTCCTTTTTTTCTCAAAAAAAAAACCCCAGTCTGTTTCCAGCTGCCTGCTAGCCTGAGACTACAAGCATATTTTGAACCCGTTTTTCAGCCAAGCAATTAAGGCTTGCAGGGTTCTGTGCATAGTGTTTCCACTGTAAACTAGTTTATTGATTATTTAAAATATTTACATACTGCCTATCATGACATAGGTTTCTTATGGTGATATACAGTACAACATTGCAATACTTTTTATACAATTTTATAGAATTATTGAACTGGAACAGGCCTTATTCCAACCCCCTGCTTGGTAAAGGCTCTGCTATAGAATTTCAGACAAATAGCTACCAGCCTTTGTTTGAAGATTTCCAGTACGTGGGAATATACAACTTAGTAAGTCCACTGGCTGACAGTTCTTCCCATCAGGAACTTGTTCCTAAATCTAACTTCAATCTACTTCACTGTAATTTTAACCCACTGGTTCTAGACCTGCCCTCCAGGATGAGAAAGAACAAGCTGACACCCTCCTCTATATGACTGCTATTTGGATATCAAAGACTGCTACCATATCCCTTCTTAGTCTTCTTTTCTGCAGGCTAAACATAACAAGTTCCTCGTAGGGCAATTTCAAGTTCCCTCACCATCTGGTGACACCTTTTGGACTCCATTCCCTGTAATTGGATACAGTATTCCAAGGCAGAACATGTGGGATAGTTAACATCCAGTGATTTGAACTCTGACTGACTGATTATATGCCATCAGATTGGTGTCAACACTTCGTGACCACTTAGATAAATGGTCTGTCTCCAAATTGGTCCTTCAGATCTTCCAACAGTGTACCAATTGTCACTGTAATTGAGTCTATCCACCTTGCTGCTGGTCATCCTCTTCTTCTCTTTCCTTCCACTTTTCCTAGCATTATAGATATCTCCAGAGAACTAGGTCTTTGCATAATGTGTCCAGAATATGATAATTTGAGTGTGGTCATTTGTGCCTCAAGTGACAACTCTGGACTGACACGTTTGATGATCCATTTTGTTTGTTATCTATAGTATTCTCAGGAGTCTTTTCCAACACTAAAATTCAAGGCATCAATACTCTTTCTATCCTACTTCTTCAAAGTCTCACTTTCGCTTCCATAAAGTGTCACAGAAAAAATCACTGCCATTCTTACCTTAGTAGATATAGACATGTCTTGGCATATTAATATCTTTTCCAAGGCTTTGATGGCTACTTTATCAAGTGCTATTCTGCAATGCATTCCTTGACTGCTAATTCCTTTACTATTGATAGTCAATCCTTAAAGGCAGAAGCTATCCACCACTTCAATATCTTCATTGTCAGTTTTAAACCTGGTTGCTGTTCCTGTTATCATTAGTTTGGTTTCCTTTATATTTATCTGAGACCCATTTTTTCACTCTGCTGTTTGACTTGATCTCCTGCTACTGGAGCTTGGAGATTTGCATTTTCAGCTATCAGAGTTGTGTCATCAGCACAGTGCAAGTGATTGATGTTTTGTTCTCCAACCTTAAAACCACATTCATCTACTTCCAATCCATCTTCCCTTTATTCTGTGTGTGTGTGTGTGTGTGTGTGTGTGTGTGTGTGTGTGTAGAATAAAAAAGGGGAGAGTATACAGTCTTATATCCTTTGCAGATCTGAAGTCATTCTGTTTTGCCATGTTCTGTCTGGACTGTGTCTTCCTGACCCGTGTATAGTTTTTGTATGAGGACAATAAGATGTTCTAGGATTCCCATTTTTCTAAGCACATTCCTCAGTTTGACATGATTGATACAATCAGAGGCCTTTCTATAATCAATGAAGCACATATTGACTTCTTTTTGGCAGTCTTTGGCTGTCTCAATTATTCAGCATCCATCAGCAATAATATCCCATGTTCCTTGGCCTTTTCTAAAGCCAGCTTGAGCATGTGGCATCACTCTGTCCATGTAGGGCTCTAATCTGTGTTAGGTGATCCCAAGCATTATTTTGTTAGCATGTGAAATTAAGGATATTGTTTAATAGTTTGCACATTCTGTTAAGTCTCCTTCTTTGATATTGGTATGTAGAATGATTTCTTCCAATCTATTGGCCACTGTGTCATTCTCCAGATTTGCTGGCAGTTTGGTTAGAACTTTACCTATTCTTCTGTTGCTTGCCATATTTCTGTAGATATTCCATCAATTACTGTAGCCTTCTGACTTGCTAACAGAAGTGCTGATCTAACTTCCTCTTCTAGTAATAGATTTTTTTTTAAAGTAGGGAATATCTTCTAAGATACCTTGAATGTTGACATTTCTACTGTACAGAATTTCAGTACACTCTTCCTTTCAGTATACTCTTTCTTTTTTGTTTGAGCTTCTCTGAATCAGTTGCCATCTGTCTAGTGGTGTCCTTAGCATACCAATTTGAGGTTGGAACCTTGTTCTGAATTCTGAGATAGTTTGGAAGACTTTCTTTGTTTTTCTCTGTTTCCATCTTCTCCATCTTCCAACGCCAGTCTTTATAGATGTTGCTGTAATACTGCTTCTTGTCTCTTCTAACAGCTGTCTGAAATTCTTTGGTAAGTTAATTTCTGAGATCTTTGTCTTCTTGGCTTTGGCTTCTCTACTCTTCTTGGCAATTCCATGGTTTGTTCAGATATCCAGTTTGCTTTCTTCTATTTTTTGATTTCTGGCAATCTCTTTTCACATTCATCCTTAACAGTTTATTAGGTTCATTCCATACTTCCTCTGGTTCCTGATCAATGAGATTCAGGACTTCAAAGTATTTTCTGATGTTATTCTTGAAAATGGTGGGTATATGCTCAAGATCATATTGTGGAAACAGGTTGGCTTTCTTCCATTTTAACTTAACTTGGAACTTGCACATGAGCAATTTGTAATCTGTTCTACAATAAGTCCCTGACCACATCTTTGCTGTTATAAGTGAGCTCTTCTACCTCCTTCTACCAATACTATAGTCAATGATCTGAACTCTAGGCACCTGTTAATATATCACAAAATAGCATTTGCCTTTTTGATAGCTGCATCATACCAGTCAAGATAAGGCTTTTGGGTCAGAGAAGGAATTTCTGCTCTGTTTTGTAGCTGACTGTCTTTTAAAGGCATACATGGGTAAATGTTAGCCTACCTCCACATAGGAAGAAGCAGATATTTTCAGAGATATATCCACCTGGAATATTTGTGAGATGCTGGGATGTTAGTACTAACATCTCTCTTTTGGAAATACTTATTTTAGTGTGAAGACGACTTCATGAATATTTGTATTGAATCAGATGCAATCACTAGGGGAGACTATGTAAAAAGAGGGTGAGTATTAGAGAATCTGTCCTTATCCACCTTGTCATATTTATACATTTCATTTATTTATTTTCTCTCTCTTTGTGAATATTAGTAAGAAGCTTTTATTACAAGGAGCGTTTAAAACAAAACAAAAGGTTCTGAAGTTTACCATCGTGCCAAAATTCAGTGCAGGGATTGTTTGCTTGCTTGCTTATTTGTTAGACTTATAGCACACCTTCTCCAGAAGCTCAAGTTATCCCTCCTTTGAGGTGGGCAAAGTCAAGGAACTGACATGGCAGGGATTCCAGAAATGTTCTTAATTATTATAGTAGAATAACAGAATCTTGAAAGTCCCCTCTTAACAGTTCTTTGGTTCCTTCCTTATTCCCAAGGTCAGATCTACATTCCTTCACAGCTGGTGTATATAGCACTTCCACCTTCATTTTTATCCCTACAACAGCAACTCTGTGAGATAGATTGGGCTGACAGTGGTTGGCCAAAAGTAACCAGTGAATTTTTATAGCTGAGGGTCACTTAGAACCCTAGCCCTAATCTAACATCTAAACTATTAACATAAACTAATTATTGCAAAAGTGTGCCAAGTTATGTCAGCAGGGGAGAATTTATTGGTGGTTGATTCCAGTTCTGATTTCCATAACCTCTATAAGGATGCTGATTTTAAATTTTTGAGTACCTCCTTATTGTTGACTTGCAGACATTATACACCATATGCTGATGAATTGCTAAAAGCTAATTCCCAAGGTCAGATCTACATTCCTTCACAGTTGGTGTACGTAGCACTTGCCATGGGTTTGGGCATGAAAAGGTGAAGTTTGTGTGCATGGATCTTATACAGTGAGTGGTCCAAGCAATTAAATTAAATGACCAGTGAGAATATAGGGCCCGTAAATTGAAGGAAGTCACAACATCATTTTACTGTAGCAGGTCTTTTTTAATAGATTTGTTCACTTTCTTTGTAAGCTTTTGATACTGTTGTATAGTGTTGGTAATGTGTCATGATGAATGAGTATTGCTCTTGAGCCATCTTGTCTTGAATCTGCTTATCCTGTTAAGTCATTTAGAAAGAGTCTGTTTCATGTTCTACCATGAAGCATGTGGACAAGAAAGCATTATGGAACATACTTCCCACAGAAATGTTTGGCTCCCTTGCTCCTGGCATTTAAGACAGCACTTAAAACCTCTGGGGTTGATATTGAGTTTTTGATTTTTAATAGGTTGAGTGCCATCTTACGTATCCTATACTATGGGGGTTGGGGGTAGATCTGAGATAGAGATTACTGCTTTTATGCCTGTGTCATTGTGTACCACCCAGAGTCATGTGACTGGGGCAATATAAAAAATCTATTAATAAATAAAGAACTATTGAAAATCTGAAGGAAGTCTTGTAATCAAATTAGTAAATAAATTAATTTAAATGGTGCCAAAAAGCATTGTATTGTTGTTCCAGAGTCTGCAGTTTGTAGCAATAGTAACATGGAGCATAGCGAAAGTTGTACAGATAGATTGCAAGAGATATTTAAGTCCTACTTCTCCAACCTGTATAATGCCCATCTCACTTTCAGCACCAAGCGGTCTGAGAGTGACAGACCTTGAAATCCAACACATCTGGAAGGCAGCAGGTTGGGGAAGCCTGAACGTAAACAACTGGTGACAAAGTGCAATGTTTCCTGCCTGCTTGGAAACGTAATATCTAGTTCCTTTCGCCACCTGGTTCCATCTCCAACCTGAAATGGAACACAAAGGTCCCTTGGAAGGCAAAGAGCAGAAATGAGAGAAATATAGCCATTAACAAAGCTTAGAAATAGTGGGAGTTAATAATATCCATGCAGGCACCTTAAATATTGTATTCCTGTCTAATGATAAATAGCTGTAGATATCAGATAGCTTTGAGAGTGATGAACAGAGCCAGTTTGATGTAGCGGTTAAGGTGCTGGCCTAGAAACCAGGAGACTGTGAGTTCTAGTCCCGCCTTGGGCATGAAAGCCGGCTGGGTGACTTTGGGCCAGTCACACTCTCTTAGCCCAATCACCTCACAGGGTTGCTGTTGTGGGGAAAACAGGAGGAGGGAGGAGTATTAGGTATGTTTGCTGCCTTGAGTTGACACACATATATATGTACATATATATGGGATAAAAACATGATGATGATGATGATGATGATGATGATGATATGGAAGTAGGAACAGTGAGAAGTCAGTTCAGGATATCATCCAAGCTATCCTGCAAATGTAATACAATCTAGCATTTTGCAGATGGATTCAGGTACTTAAATCCTACAGTATCATAAATTTAAACAAATTCTTTGAAGACTTCATTCATAATGGGCATTATGTGAGGGCTGGAAATATAGAGCAGCAGAATGCTAGCAGCAATTCAGAAGTTGTCAACAAACTGGCCATTTCTAGCTCAGACCCAAAATATTATAGATAAAAGGAGAGGAAGGGAAAGTAAAATAAAATATTCTGTATAGATCTCTAGTGAGAAGATTACACTTAGAAATAAGCAGCAAATAGCCAGCCAGCAGAGGCCTTTGAGGAAACACCATCACTGAAAATTTGTCAGCCCATCCTAGGTCTTAAGAGAAATATGAGTTAGATCCTAATGTGGGACTCATGGAAGTGGACTTCCCTGCCTTGTCCTCCAGTTCCAAGAATGCTACCCAGAGAGTGGCTCCCAAGCCCCTTAGGTAAACTTCAGTTCACCGAACCCTTTCTGAAAGCCGCCTTCTGCAAGAACAATTTTCAAGTGTAGAATCAACAGCAAGTGGGCATGTGAGAGATTGCTGTATTGGAGCCACTCTTTGCATCTGTTCATGCAGCCTTGAAGGCCTGAGTTGCACAGCTGGTTCACCAGCTGTCTGAGCAGGTAATGAGGCCGTGAACAGGAGCTGAATGGGATGCTCACAGAAGCAATTAAGCAAAGACAGAAAGAGGTCAAGCTGGAACCAATACCAACCAAATAACATTATGAAAATGTAGCGCTTAGGTAAACATTTGCTGTAAGAAGCTATTTTAGTTCTGTATGCGTTCCTGCAATAAGATGATATCTTTGAATACAAATCATATGGAAAAGAAAATTATGGGTAAGAATAAAGTGGAAGTCAGTACTTTGCCTTGATTATCCAGAACCTTCTCATTAAAAAATATTCAGCAGTAGAGCAACAAGATATGTACAACTCTGAAATGCAAACACAACAAAGAAAACTGAAAGTTGCTTCAGAGAGACATTTTTCATACAGATAATAATACAGATATTGCTAGACATGTGTACTGTTAACGTATAAAAGCAACTGCTGGTGCCTTTAACCAGGCAAGCGTATTGGCTTCTAAATCTAGAAATTTTCAGTGATAGCATTCAGTAGCATGGTTCAGATGGTGATTTGAAGGTTTATGTAACCATGGAGAATCATCAGGACTAATTATATGCAAAACATCTACTAACCCCTAATTAGAAATGACTAACATACTTTCCTGTCATGCATACTATATATTCTTCCTAACTTTTTAAAACTAGAGCTTCCCTATTATGTTCATTTAGGATATTTGCATACATGTCATGGGGGAGGATGAAAAAAGTTTTGACCCCAGCTTTTAAAGCTATGGTTTCTTCCATAGTCTCTCATCAGTATACTTAGTCAACCCAATGTGAACACATGTAAAAATTTTAAGGGATAGATGAACCCTGCATATGAGCTGAAGTTCAGGTCATTTTCAAGGACAGAAGATTGAGGAGGACTGCTAAACCCACCCAAATGTACCAGGCTGAAACTTCAGTGTAAGGCTGCAAGCAGATACCCCAAGGCTCATGTATCAGTTGTAGCAATTCCCTGGACTAATTTATTGACTGGACAAGAATACATTACAAAGAAATCAAGAGCTGGTGTGATATTTATAGCTCAGGTGTTGTTCTTGGATCACACAGATTAAGTTCAAACTTTATAGGCATGAAGCTCCCTGAAGGCATTTTCTCTCTCAGAAATGTTGCATGAACACAATGTATGCCTCCAATCTTTGGAAGAAGGAGTAATGTAAAAATGACATACTGTATTGTAGTGTAATGTAAAAAATGGTTAACTTCACTTGGTCATAGAAGGACTGCATATATTTACCATCTGCTTCTGAAGCCTTTTCCAGCTTTCCCTTTGCTGTTGTCTTTTTTGGTCATACTTTAAAGCATAGGCATAAATATTTCTGGTGTTCCTCTTATCTTGTTTTGCACAGAAGCCAAAAGATGCAGGACCCCCACTTGTGTCCTGAAGGAAGTCAATGTCTTCAGGCTAGCAAATGCATTTTGGAGCTTCCAGAGGTGAGAGAAATCAAATCTTAAGAAAAACATAGGCATTTTTTAAATGCCTTGATGCACACTGAGCAGGTTTTATTTTCTCCCACCTTAGAAAGAATAGTGGCTTTTCTTCTTTCTGTGTAGAGACAGAATAGATAGAACTGAGTTTTGCTTAAGTGAGCTTTGGACCAGATTCTGAGGTCTCTCTGTAAAATCAGTGTGGACCGAGCCAGTCTGATTAGCCACCATTCCTATCATTGTCAATAGTAACTACCTTTTTATGTATGTACATATGTGTATCATGTAATGACAGTTGACTACATCCAATTTGATCCTTTTACCATGATCTCTGTACATGTAAGAAATTCCTAAGGGTAGGAAGATCCCTAAAGAGGCAATTGTGTTAGCTAAAGTCTTGTATTAGGCAATATATAGGCACAAGGATTTATACTCAGATACAATGCATTCGGAAAGTATTCAGACCCCCTTCACTTTTTTCAATTTTGTTATGTTGCAGCCTGATACTACAATTGTTCAAATTTATTTTTTTTCTCATTAATCTACCCCCAGTCCCCCATTATCAAAGGGACCGCCTCTCCCCTATGACTTCAACCCGTCCCACCCGATCACACAGAGAGGGCATGCTTTGGACCCCCTCGGTGAAAGACCTGCAACTGGCGGGGTCCAGAAGGCGGGCTTTCTCTGCGGTAGCCCCCGCTCTTTGGAACATTCTGCCCCCGGAGGTGCGATTGGCCCCCTCACTCCT